CACTAGACCTAGAACTAGAAACATTCAGCTTTAGCCGTGCGACTTCAGATGATACTTTCTAGTTCTAGATCTAGTGTTAGTTCTAGTTTTACACTAGCACTATCACAAGAATTAACACAAGACTTAGAACTAGAATCATTTGGGTTTAGCCGTCTTAAGAGAGGCACGGCTAAACCCGAATGTTTCTCGTTCTAGGTCACATGTTAGTTCTAGTGACAGTGCTAGGTAGCGCTAGTTAGCATTAGATATCATTGTGTTGTAAATGTTTATTTAACTAAAACTAACACTAGATCTAGAAATAGAAACATTCGGGTTTAGCCGTCTTAAGAGACGCACGACTAAACCCGAATGTTTCTAGGCCTAGGTCACATGTTAGTTCTAGTGACAGTTTCATATTTTTATTAAATTAAAACAAGAACTAACACTAAACCTAGATCTAGAATCATTCGGGTTTAGCCGTCTTGGGAGACGTGCGGCTAAATCCGAATGTTTCTAGATCTAGGTCTAGTGTTAGTTCCAGCTTTAATTGTTATTCAACGTTAAATTATGGTATATTTTTATTGAACGAAAAGTAGACCTAACACTAGGCCTATAACCAGAAACATTCGGGTTTAGCCGTGCGTCTGTTCAGACGGCCGAAAGCTCAGGGTTGTTATAAGGACGCCACCTTTTTCCAAGCAAAACTTTTCCATTGTAAAACTACCCAATGCCTGTACTATTAAGCTATGTTGCATTTTATGTGGGACAGTTATATGAAATTCCCGGTATATAAAAACCTAGGTAACCATATATAGGTTTCCCAAAAGTAACGGATAAATTCATTAAAACAATTAAGAACAGTTTATGGAAAAATCGCTGAAACGGGTCTAAGATTTAAATTTTTTTAAACGAGTAATGACGTCACCGATATTTTTTTCAAATGTGTATTCTATTACGGAATATGAAAGAGGACTTGTTTCTGAATCTAGTACAGTCAATATTAATATTGGTTACATTAGAAAATTTTCGAGAAAAATTATGTTAAAGTTTCATGATTTTCCATTCAATTAAGATAGCAAAATAGCAGTAGCTATGCGTAACCATGGCAACCAACAGTTTCAGATATCAAAAATTAATCAGTGTCTTAATAAAATGTTTAAAACAACTGGTTGTCATGGTTACGCATGGCTACTGCTATTTTTCTACCTCAATTGAAAGGAAAATCATGAAACTTTAAGGCATTTTTTCTCGAAAATTTTCTTATGCAATTAATATTAATTTTGGCTGTACCAAATTCAGAAAAATATCCTCTTTCATGTTCCGTAATAAAAATGGGGGATTGCTATTTGAAAAAAATAGCGATGACGTCATAACTAGCTTAAAAATGGGGGGAAAAATTTAAATCCTTAGATTTTTCTATAAAGCGTTTTAATTGTTTTAACGAATTTATCCGTTACTTTACATATTACTTACGGAAGCACTGTATATCTAGCGGATATACACCGCTGAGTACACGATAAGTTATCCTCCCGATAATCTCACTGAAAAAAATATCCGTACATTGTAACACAGTATAAACTAACCTATCAGCCAGATAACGCTATTGGGAAGTTTATCGGTATATTGTACAACCGGTCCATAGTAACGTATATTCATAAAACAAATTTTTAAGTGTTTTTGATAAAAATTAAAATGATTTTATAATCAAGCGAGACGGATCTGTGCGGTTACGCTATACGTGTAATTAAAAATATATGTTGGATAGCATATACTTTTTACTACACACATTACATCATCATTATACTTAAGAGATAAAGAATAAATGAAATAAAATGAGATAATGTCACTATAAAAACGTTTTAAAAGTGTTTGTAAACGATCGAATTATGTTAAACCGAAGTGAGATTTGCTTGAGAGAGAAGATGGAGTGTGCGGGACCGTAAATCATCCGTTGCCACAATACAATTTCTCGAAACGCTTCCCCGTCTGAGTCAGACAACGCTAAATTATCTTTTTTTATTAGGCCGTGATAGTAAACCACGAGTTCCACATTGTATCCAAAATAGCGGCTGACAGTTTTTATTGGTCCATAGTTCTTCTCTAAACGCCCACGCAACGTAATTTTATGGCCGATGACCAAAGAGGGTCCGTTAGAATTTCGCAACAGCCTCTTTTGTATGTGTCCACGGCGTGTGAACGAAATAAAGCACCCGTCTTCATCAATTCTCTGTTATATTTGTCGGAATTAAGTCCGTAAAGTGTTGTTTCGAGAGTTGAGAGTCCGGTTTGCGCTTGGTCGAGACTTTTGACAAACGTGTTATAAATTAGCCGGTAAATAGCATATAATATGCTATTTATCACGTCGACGTCGTTCCCTTGAAATATATATCAAAATATGGTTTCCCCTACGCTGGAACGCTCATAAATCAGTCGTAATCCAACGCCGACGCGCTAGGAACCCGTGCAATTATAACCATACTTTACGGCAAATGCTACAATTTGTCCTAATCGCTTAACGCAGTGACATTTCGCTAAAAGCAAACGCAATAAGTTAGGGAGGAGACTGGTCGCGGATGCCTGCATAATAAATCCGCGCGGTTTTGAGGCAACAGGTGTTACTTTACAGATATATTGCGGGCAGGATCGGATGCCGCGGCGTCTACAGGAAGGATCGCTTTCAGAGAGGCGCAGCTTAGCAAATTGCCGCCGTCCGGAGTGGGCCATTTATAAATGAATACGTTTACCTACGGGTGAACACTACTTGTTTGCGTAGAGCCAGACGCAAATGATCTCGTATCCTGTTGCGAACGCGATTTTATGTCGGTATCGATTTCAATACCGCTGATAATATCGTAGAGGTTTTATCTTACTGATCGAATATATTTCTTTTTATATCTTTAAATCCATAATAAATTGCCAAGACAACTAATTGAATCGCTAAGAAGCAGAACGTTAATATATTGTTCTGTTAATAAATCGTCCCCATTAACGGCCCATGCAAAATGGTCCCATTATAAATAAATACGCCTTCAACAATACCGGTCCTGGCAGGAAGTCGCCGTATCTCCGAAATTAAATTAAATCGAACACGAGGCTGGGGCGAGATTTACAGCGGCGATTTTTCATCTTCTTTAGTCCGACCGGGAGATCGTTCCGAGAAAAGCACGTTTTCGAGCGCGGTAAAGCGCGATGCGCTCGAGCGAAGACCGACCAGAATGGAGTTACAAACGACGATCATAATTTAATCTCGAGATAGAGAGAAACTGGAACAAGTGTATCGCGGATACAAATTGCCCACGTTTCGTCATGTGTGAGCAACAATGGTCCACCTACGCCCGGGTTCCTTGGGCATTTGCGAGCGTACGTGCGCACGAACAGATACCCAGATATGGGATAAGATTGGACACGACAATAACACGTCTTTAGTGAATGTTATTGGGCGGTTAGAGCGGGATGTCTGATGGTAATGCGGAATGGCAACTACTATACGGGCAACGGTTAGGCGCAATATGCGACTCCAGTTACCATGTGATTTACTCACCATCTTGATGTCTATGCAAAATACGTTTTCATATGCTCACATGCTCGTTCAATTTACAAGATGTACCGTTTTATTATTTATGTTTCTTATATTTTCAAATGTAGTAATCTTTAATATTAATAGATAATATATTAACCTCCTGGGAATTCATGATTTTCTATAAAAAGAAATGAATTTTACCACTTACATCACAAGAGATTTTGAAAAAAGTTTTACAAATACAAATACTTTACGTTATATAAAGATTATCAGTTTTAAACATCAACTACAAGGAACTATTCCAAAGGTTAAGAAATTCCTGTTTGCCTTAAAAAGTATAACAGCCAATCTTGGACGACATGACAAGTTCAAGAATGGAAGCACTTCATATGGTCTTGGAAGTTCTAAATTTTTGAACTAGTTCTCGATGTCTGTTTTTAATTGTTGTGATCCAGATCTTGTAATCGTAATTGTTGGGTTATCGAAAAAGTATAAGATTTTGTGAATGAAAAGTTGCTTTATGGAAGTGGGGGTAGGTTATGTAAAACTATCGAACGTGAAAGTTTAAATATTTGGATCAAATAAACACTATAGTGATTGGAATATTTATATGGTTAACCGGGGAAAGCAGGAAATTGAGAAAAAAAAGTACGAATTCTCATGTCGGTAGAAGGAAAATTCGAGCAGGAAATATAGTATCGAAATGGAAAATTTATTTCTTTTTCTCACAACGAAATCCAAGCTTATCGCTTCCTGCTTGGTAACGTATAAGTGTAGAGAAAAAGATCGCGCTCTCCTAATAGAGGTAGGAGTACGTTTTTTTATTTGTACATCATTAGCGGAGCGGCGGAATCCCTTTGCTTGGAAAAAATGCGCACACACTCGCCTTTTGTACATAAGGCATCCGCTTAGACAAGAAGAAATTAGACCGCTCCATTGAACGGGAGGCATCGTTAAGCCAGAAGGAAAAAGCTGACGTACGGACCCGTCATGTTATAAACAGCGGCCTTAGGACAATTTTCCCCGACAATATTATCTCCGGCGCATCGTTTTCGAGCGCATTGCGGCCGGCGCAATCTCATTACATTCTTTCGCCTGTAATACACGCGCCGTCGTCCAATAAATTAACCTAAACGGCCCGAGCTCGCTTGCCGCTTTCTAAAACGATTGAAAAACTAATACAATGGCGAGACGCGTTGCCGATACAGTACCTCTAAGGACTTTTTCTCTTACGAAGGATAATAACGCTCCTTGTGCACTTGCCTCCCATTTAACCTTAACATTGGCTATTCTACTAAAATTATTTTTAAATATTTAATTCAAAAAGCTCAAAACTCGTGTAGTTTCAATTAATTACATTCCATCTTGACCAGGAACCGTTGGGTAGTCGTAAATCGTCTCGCCTCGTCTGATATTAATTACACCCTTACGTATCGGCATAAGTAATGGCGTGTTAAATGTGACGGTGTGCCTTATGTTCCTTCTTCTCTCGCTGTTGCAGATGAACCAGCTGTGCAAGGTGTGCGGGGAGCCAGCGGCCGGCTTCCACTTTGGAGCTTTCACCTGCGAGGGCTGCAAGGTCAGTAAAGACACCCACGCTAGCCTCTGACCCGATCCAATATGCATAAATAATAATGCCCATATATCCCTCGTTGGGTGCCCCGCGCGCTCTCTCGGATTGTTTCGTAATTATCCCACGCGTAGGCGACCGATTAACGAACCTTTTCGTTTTCAACGAGAATAATATACTTCAACTGGGTTATTATAATCAATAGAATTTGAAATTTTTATATTAAAGTTGTTATAAATCCAAAATGATAAGTGTTGATAAGTGAAAGATGAGATCGGTTCATCGAGGAAATTTATATAGAGAGAGGCACGTGAGCTAACCAGTTTGATGAGGGCGTCCTGGTTAATTATGCAGCGTTTATGGTCTCACTCCTTTCATGCGGAAATGGAAGATGTAAATTATTCTCTGGCTTAGTATACGATAGGTATTTAAGTTTATACGCGAGGGTGCTAGAAATTATCTTAGGTTGAAAATTCTTGCAGTTTGAGATTCTCAACCTCTCTAGTCGAGCAATTATATTTTACAATCTGACATTCCTGTAGTTAATCACTTAAATCTGTACATCACCTGGGTCGGGAAGAGAAACAAGCCTTTTTAAATACGACCACATTCCTTACGGTTCCCGAGATAAGATTTTAGATAGGTTTTTAGAGCTCCGTGGGCTAGGCGACGTATCGCGATTTGAATCGTACAAATTTGTGTCCGTTCAACTTATCGTTATAGATATCGTCACCTCGTCGATCGTATTTGGAACGCGATCGGGTCCATAATTGGATTTCTAAATCGACGAATTCTCACGGCTGTCTGTATGGATATTTATAGGGCCATATACGACCAGGTTTCGGTATTCGTCGTCTTCTAATTGGTAGATGAGTATAAACGTTTCATAATGTATTTTGGTTTTGTAACCCGACGATGAGCGTAGGATAAATTAGAAGACGCGATAATTTTTGTAGTATCTACTAAACAATGTTTTCTCCGTTCTGTTGCGCAATGTAGACGCGCCTTAAGACCGAGTGCGTGCGGTGTTCCTTATTTACGGTTCTGTCCCTTGACACCGCACCGTAGATAAGGAGGACTTTTGCCTCGTAACTCCGGTGAAATTTCAAACACGATCCATTAGAAATGAAATGGCGAGCCTCTATGGCGAAGCCACATGCGGTTTTCATCCTACGGGCCTATTACCGCCTCGTATTTATTGTGAGACCAAGTCGCGGGCCTTCGTTGCATTTAAATTCGGCTTAATCTGCAATAAGCTCCGCGGAAATTCGGATTTACAGGCGCGCATGAATTATTTTACGACCGTCTGAAACCCATTCAGCGATTGCGATTAACGATACGACGTTTAAAGAAATCTAAGAGATTATTATCGTCCACATGAAGAATTATGATCGCTCGTGCGGGCGAATAAATGAAATGGGAAAAGCGCAAATCTGTTTGTTATTTGTGTTGTGCTCTTTGATCTTAAGAAATGCGGAGAACACAGTGCAGGAAACGCTTCTAGATTGACGCTCTCACTAAGTTGGTTATACCTTAAATCTCTATTATACGTGTTTATGGTATTAGGAACTAAACCGGCACTTCTGTGACATCTTCCTGGTATATACGAAGTGTCAACACACACAAGCATTTTAAGTGATTTTTTTTCTAACGGATGTGTTTAGAATAGCGTTGTGTCGTCTATAATACAGTTTAATGATTTGCTAATACCTTTAGGTAGTAAAATTTAATAATGACTTAAATGGACATGTTTCCAAGCGGATGTGCTATCTGTTATGGGAATAGGAATGTGAAAAAAACAAACACGTGCAGCCGATATAGTTTCACAATACGTCGGAGATCCTATCTTAATGTGACCACTAAGGAAACTTTGATCGAAAAGAGTCGGACGGACGGCGGATATTATTGAATTATTTGAAACAGGTTTGACACGAGGCAGAGTGAAGAACTCGCATCGGCATTTGCGTTATGTGCGTGGCCCGAGAAGCGTGCGCTTTCGTCCCCATACGGCCGTTGATATATTTCTAGCAAAGAATTGCGTCGGAAAAATACAAAGGCGCCGAAACGGGGCCCCCCGGTTTTTGGTGCCTTTCAGTTTCCTAATTGGTCCGGACGCCGACAAACGAGCACCGCGCGACGTTTTCCCAACAGCAGCAGATGCCGCGCTCCACTCTCGGTCTTCATTCAGCCTTCGAGAGATTTTGCTGTTGGCCTCCAAGAAAGCGCTACACCGACTTTCGAAGTCGTAAAAATGTTTGCAGTGAATGAGGAAATTCGCACCGACCGTATACAGCCGCGTCGTGTCACCGTACGACTAGTTTTTCCAATTCAGCCGGTTTCCATTGTGTGAATTGACAGTTTTAACATCCCACTTTGTATTTCTTTACTAACGCACAATACGGATATTGACCCACTTTAACAATAGGTACACAATTAAAATAGCTAATTTAGATTCATAAAGTATCCAAGTAAGGCAGACTAAATATAAATTTTGTCATCACTTAAAGAGAAAATATCATACTGTTTTCTCTAAAAATATTTTTGTAATTAATAGTTATGTACTATACTCTATTTTTTAATTCGCAACAGTGTTTTCAAATTGAAACGCCAAAAAGAAAGGTTGCTATTGGTCAGTTTTAAGCAAAAATTATACTAGGAAAATTCGAGATGTTGCAGGACTAGAAATGGGGTTGGTTTGGGTTGGGTTGGGTTGTAAGACGTACGGCTACGTCTCTCAGTATGGCTCCCCGAATGATTCTAGCGCTAGGTCTTGTGTTAGTTCTACTGATAGTGCTAGTGTAAAACCAGAACTAACACTGGACTTAGAACTAGAAAATATCCGATTTTCCCCCGAAACACCCGAAACTTTCTAGTTGTAGGTCTAGTGTTAGCTCTAGTTTTAGTTCAATAAAAATATACAACATAGTAATATCTTATGCTAACTACCCCTACCTACTACTGCCACTAGAACTAACACAAGACCGAGAACTAGAAACATTCGGGTTTAGCTGCACGTCTCTCAAGACGGCTAAACCCGAATGATTCTAGTTCTAGGTCTTGTGTTAGTTCTAGTAATAGTGCTAGTGTAAAACTAGAACTAACATTAAACTGAAAACCAGAAACATTCGGGTTTAGCCGTGTGGCTGAAGACGCACGGCTAAACCAGATACTTTCTAGTTGTAGGTCTAGTGTTAGTTCTAGTTTTAGTTCAATAAAAATATGCAACATAGTGATTTTTTATGCTAAATAGCGTTACCTACCACCTACTAGCCATCTTAAGGGTGCAGCTAAACGGAATATTTCTAGTTCTAGGTCTAATGGCAGTTGTAATGCTAGTATTAGTCTAGTTTTATTTATTATTCAGCGCTAGATTATTGTGTATTTTTATTAAGTTATAACGGACACTTCTCCCCGTATTAATCCGTTCGAGGATTAATACGATCTTTTCCCCACAGTTAATTATATATTTTTGAAAATCAGTAAGCGAGGTACACCTTAGTCAACCTTAGTTAAAATCAAAGAAACACAAGCTCCGAATATAGATGAAACTTTGGAAAGACCTGGTACTTCAAGTGAGCATATACCAAAATTGACCATTTTTGGATGGAAAAAATATTTATGCTTATCAAGATAAATTTCTAAATTACGGTTTTGCTTACATAAAAGAAAGTAACACTGATTGAGAATATATTGGCAAATTCGTCATTTGGAAACTTTTGAGATATAACTAATTATAAGGATAAACCAATAGATTGTTTCTTAACCCTAGGATACTTAACCAATAAAATAACTATAGTAACTAAATGCTCGCCGGGTCTGAGAGGCCCGGTTTATGCAACCTAGGGTTAAGATAAAGTAATGGTATAAAACAAGATAAATTAAATTTGGCAATGTTTATAACCACAGATAAGGAGATATTAAAGTGCCCATTTTAAAGAGCTTAACACATAACTACCATCTGATCATTGAAGATTTATTTATTTTATTTATTTACTTACATTGATTTGAGAAATATTTAAGACTGGATTAAGAATCACAAATAGCCAAAAATCGTACAGTTAGGTCTTTCATGAATTGCTTTTTTGTGGTATTTTGTTTAACAATTTTAACCGATACAACTAATTATATTCCATTTATGGACATTTGAAGCGTAATTGTACACATTTTCAACATTGGTTGCTTGTATAGTGGCTGAGAAATACGGTTAAAAAAATACATTGCCAACTGCAAAGGGAAAGTGATAATTAAAATAACTGGAAAACGAAAATCTCTAGATCTTTATGAAAGCCAACCTATTTTTGTATAAAAAAATTTGAATATGTAACAATAACCATAGCATTCCATTTAAAATAATGATTTCGGTGGACCGGAAGTTCGACACCTTGAAAATATTTTGGATCGATTCGAAAAGATCGGGCTAAACAAACATCCTATATAAACATAATTTCAGAAGTGTAGGTGGAAACGATTAAAAAACAAATAGGATGTTGCTGACTTTTTTTGCGGACACTGTATAATGTAGCGCCTAGGTAGCGAACGGCCTTGACTTAATCGGGCATATACGTATATTTTACATTCTAAGATATCGAATAAACGACGATTAATAATCGAAGTTTTAGTGTAATGTTAAATTATATTAACATGTTGCATTTTATATGGGACAAATTAAGTAGATACGTCCTGGTTTTAATGATATTTAAACAAATTCTCTCTGGTTTTAAAACTCCCGCCAAAAAATAGTTTTGAAAAATTACACTGTATAAACGTGACTTTTCATTTTACTCCTATGAATTAAAAAATAGAGAATAATATAATACTACACATGAATTCGAAGACATTATTGTGTAACCGCTTGTAGACGTTACATAATAACACACAAGGTAAATAGAACACTTTCACAGGAGCTTCGTTTCATTAATTGCGTTTCTGCTCATCGATCTCTTCCGGGAAAAGCCGATTTTTTTGTCCTAAACAAAAGAGGACTTAAAGTGAGCACAGAAGGAAATCAG